TATAAAACTGTAAAACAGCAATACCTGGGCAGCTATTAAACGTGCAACTGTTTTCTTGCTCGACTCTTGAAGTTCACCAGCGATTAGAATTTCGTCCAGTATATAATAAGCCTGTCAATCAGAAACAATTCAAATTGAAAAACAAAGAACATCCAGTGGGCACACATCGAATATGGAGGCTACAGTTGGTATAAAAATGCCTGTTTCAGATTTAAAACTGTGTTCTTGGCTCACTTAGCCACCCATGAATTTCAGAGCAACTTGCAAGTAGTTGAAACTGAAACAATGATACAATTGCTTGTAGAAAGAAAAACGAGTGGCGAACAAAATAATATATTATCAAATTCTATCAAGAAGAGATTGCAGGTTTCGTTTGATCACTAGACATACTCCAACCAAAATAGTATAGTTTCTTTTCCAAGTGACAATGTAAAATTTGCACACATGGAAATGCTCAAGTGTCAAAGGAAGGAAAATACCCAATAGATATAATTTGAAATTCCTAAAAGGCTCACCAAGAAAACAAAATTTCTGCCATATTAAGCCACAGAAAAGATAAGCAGCATCACGTATTATCACTCCTTGACGCATCATACTGGTCTTCAAGTTGTCCATCTCGAAGGGAAAAAAAATCTTACTCTAGACAAGTGGTAATTATATAGCATAACCCCAAGCAAAACACTGCAGCACTTTTACAAAAGAACAATGGATCTCTTGCTAGAGGTGTTCTAAAGACATCAAAAGCCACTTTGTGGCCGAGGCTCATAAGATTGCCTCGGACATTTGAAGAAGAAAAATGTCCTATGAGGTGCACATTTTATAATTTGGAGCTTTGATACTCGACTCTTTGAAATGGTCGGAATATCCGTGTCTGATATGACACGACATGGGAATGGGTATGGGTATGGGTATGGGATATGTGTCGGATCCTCCAAATTTCAACCGGACACTTCATTATTTTTGCTTCTTTATTTTTCTTTCCCTTTTCTTCTTTTTATTCCTTCTTTCCCTCTTTGTATCGATGGTTTAGAATTTTGACTGTATAAAATGAAAATGGATTTCATATAATGTTAATTGGTGCTCCACTGAGTCCAAATTACAATAAAGTCCCTCATTTTCTATTTTATATAATATTTAGTAATTAACTTCCCATAATTGAAATTTGAAATCTAAACTCCAAAATTTGAAATCTAAACTCCAATACTCATTTCCATCTTGTGAACAACTGATTTTAGTCTATTCAAAATGATATCTTGAACTAGTAAAAGAATTGAAACTTGAAAGACGTACCCATGTCCGAAATTTGAACTCTTTTTAACTATATCCTCGTATCCTATATTTTAGAAAATAAATATCCGACACTTGGATTTGAGCAGCATAGATTTGGAGCATTTCAAAGAGTTGATAAACACCTCTTATGCCCATAACATTGAGACATAGGTCCCACAGGAGTTGATACTTCAAGGGCGTTTGAATTATTACAGATAATAAAACTAATGTTTCATGGCCCAAGTCAATTAAAATCACAGAAGAACAACCAACTCTAATTTCCTATCACCGACAAAGAGTGACAGCATTAGTACCTTCAATGGTACTCAGTATGATTATCCATGATTAACAAGTAAATCCATTAATTTCAAGGAAATTCAAACTCTTCTTATCAAACAGATAAATAGCATACTAACATTTGCCTATGTTCCCACTTCCAAACTCTTTATGTAAACAAATGTGGCTAACAAGAGGAATTATATCAAAATATAGAATACCTATTCAGTTAAGGGGAAAAAAAAAAAAGCATAGACTCAGACGATGAAAGATTTGAGAGAGTGAATCATCTATTTTTATTTAGCGAACAAGTTAAACTACTATTTGATGTCAACTTTGTTACAACATGCTTGTTGTAGGAATTGGTTTAAGTGATTTATAATGAGAAGTTAGAACTGTTTTCATGGACAGCATTGCGTATCCTTATTAAGATTTTCTTTCCACTGAGAATTTCCGGGTTAAAAAATAGGAAAAAAATTTGTGTTTACGGGAAAAATATTTTATCTTAAGAACGTATGGTTGAGAATGAGTACAAGAAAAAAAGAGTTTTGAAATAATGGTTGTCAAACAGGGGATAAAAATGAAAGTTCGTGGAAGCACACACTCCACCACAAGAAGAGGTACTGCTTACCTCTTTGCTTTTAAAACACTGCTTGTCGGAAGGGATTTAATATGGGTAGGAAGATTACATTTACTCTTTAATTATGTTCTTGTAATCTTAACTACGACTATATATGTCTAGAAAATGTAACAAATAGTCATCATACAACTTGCAGATATTGTAATATATTATACAACTGCACAAGTACATCTGCAAACTATCAATAGTTAGTCTCCTAATTATCGTAAATCTGTGGTCACTGCTTATCCCAAAATGTTTCAGTTATTGCTGAGCAGTTTATGCCAGATAAGCTCCACTAAGTGACACTAACATAAGGCCAACTATATATCTAATGTTAGAATAAACTAAGGCCATGTTTGATTGGAACAACTTCCATGGAAAATGGAATTCGAATTCCACTTTCCACCAATTTTGTGTGTTTGATAGCAAAACTTTCCCATGGAATTCGTTTTCCATCTTTTCCCCATACACTTGCATTTTTCATGATTTGGTGTAAATCAATTCTCACCAAAGCGGCGAGAACTGGTTTTCCACATTTTTTTTTAATTTTATTTTTGGCAATGAGAACAAATTTTAGGAACAATTATAAAAGAGAATATCCCTTAAATTGACTATTTTTATGTAAAACAAAACCAAACGAACACCAAAATATAGATGATCTTCCTTTTTTTTTTTTTTTTGGTGGCAATGGAAATTTTTTTTAGGAATAATTGTAGAAGTGGATATCTCTTAAATTAACAATTTTCATGAAAAACAAAACCAAACGAACACCAAAACATACTTTTATTTCAACACTTTTCACGTGAACAATTATATCAATCAAACACTATTAATTGACAATTTCCACTAAAATAATTTTTAGACAATTCAATTCCCTGGAATTCATTTTCTTTCCACCAAAATTCCATCTTTGCAATCAAACGGATCCTAAGTGATATGCCATCAATTTTTCCAACAAGAATAAATTAATTCTTTTATGATGAGAATATAAGTTTTAAATTTTTAAAGATAAATATTGAACAGAAATCATATTTTCACTAAAATACACAACCTAATAAAGAATTTATCTTGCCTCAAGATGCATCTCCCCCATCAGCTTTATTGATTAACAGAATGGAACTATGGAAGCAAAAGACAAGTTAAACTATTTAAACATTATGCACAGCATTATAAAATGATAAAGATGAAAATGATGTTCATTACCTATGGCAAGCAAAAGATACCATAAGGACATATGCAAAGAGATGCACATGCACACAACCTAGCACATAGAGATGGCAAGCAAATTATTTGACATTTGTACAATGAAGTGGATTTCGCACGTCTTATTAAAGATGCCACTGCTATCTTAGCTCAGAGATAGCACTAAATCATTGTAAGAAAAAAAAATGTTGTCTAAGGCTTATGCAATAAGGGGCACCTCAAGTGAGGCTTGCATTAATTGCCCTGAAGCTTATGCCTTGAGTGCCTCTATTAACTCTTATGCCTTAGGTTAGCTAAGGTGTGTGCTTGTTTGTCTTGCCTTTTCTAGGCTTTTTATAAGAAATCCGACCTTGCAAGCTGCAAGTTCATATCGTTGAACAAAGAATCTAGGTACTGGAAATTTTTAACACAGAGGGATAATGAGAGTCAACAATGCAAATCAATCATTCCATGAGGCAAGTATGCAAATACACAAACACTCAGAAATAAACCAGCCCATAAAATTCCATCAACTTTCCTTTCTTTGCAATCTCTATAATTTTACGCCTCGAATGTATGAACACAAGTTTTTTGTAAATAGTAATCAGGCAACAGTCTATTAAGACTCTTCAAAATATAAAAATCAACCCAGGATAAAGAGTTGTACCTTATGGAAATTAAAGATCAAATCCAGCTCACACACCTAATGGACAAAGAAGAACATTCAGTTTAGAATATGAACATGATTTAAACCTATCCCTACGCTAATGATGCTTCACAGTGTTTCAGTACTCACACTTCCAAAGTAGCGGTCTAGTATTTCAACAAAGTGGTGGATAATCTCGAGGACCTCCAATTCATTGTCATCTTGATCAATACACATGCAGAAATAAAGGCTGGCATATCTGCATTAGTACAGAAAAAGCAAAGAATGATTACTTGTGTACGCCATTATCAAGAGGGAATCAGGAAAACAAATTATATGCTGTTGAAAAATCATGGTAACAGAAATGAACTTGGAACTAAATACAGATGACACAACACCTTTTATAGACAACTTTATATCCCCTCCACTCCACAAAATTACACAGTTTAGGGCCACGACTGAGAATCATACCACTATGCTCCCGAATAACCTTTAGAAAGTACAAGAGAATATGCAGTGTTGTTAGAGTCCTTGAAAAATGTAAATCAATTAAGAAAATTTATTTTCTAAAAAAAAATAGTATAGCGCAAAGTCAAGCCTGTTGCATCATTTTAGATCTACTGTGAAAGGAATGATCTACTACAAATACAATATCATTTCAAATTTCACAAGAATAAGGTGAATACCTTGGTTCTTTCCTTTTGAGAATAAGGTGAATACCATTTTGTTAGCCTCACTTTTCCCTGCCGGCTAATAAGGAGAACAAAGTGGATCTGAAATAAGACAAGAAGCTAAGTCACTCTTCAACTGTAATAAAAAGGGAATGGAAACTGAAAATTTTGCTTCTGATTACAAATGAGATACTAAATTATTTTATCAAGTGCAGGATGCATTTTGAGTACTTCTAGTAGTGTTAATCTAGGTTTCATCTACAGGGAATAATTGAATAGAATAGCTATAATATCAGGATTTCTTAGATGTAATGGAAATGATGTACTAATCAAAAGCAAACATAATAAACAAAAACATCATGTAGGTATACTTTAGATGCATTCTTTCACTAGCATCAACATGACAGTACCCGGCAGAACCTCCTTACTACATTAACCAATTATTGGAAGGAAGCTTTCTGATTATCCCAAGGCCCTTTTATTTTTTTATTTTTTCCTTTTTCATCTATTGGTTCAGAGTGCTTAAAGTTCTATTGGGGTATTCTGTGACTGGAGTATAAAATCACAATTCGACTCCAAGTTGATCTTATCTTAATCTCCATAATCGACGTTGATCTTATCTTGATCTCCATAATGCCAGAAAATCTTGCACTTAGAATTCTTTAAAAACTATCTAGAAAAATGTTCAACCTACTCTTATTTCTTATTGAATGAACAAAGCATATGTAGATCCAGAAAGGATCTCAAGGATGCTAATCCGACATAATCACAAGCTTATAGATCCAAAGTTTGAAACGAGATTGATGTTAAACAAAATTAAGAAATCTTCCCCGAAATCCGGAATCAATTACATAGTTTCAAACGAGAAAATACTACAGAAATCAGCAATCAGAAGAATAGATTGAAAGCGAAGAACTCTAAAAAAATTGTTACCATGTCGTCAGCCGATCCAGATTCACCAGTGCACTATAACAATTGAAACAAAAAATCAGCTTTTCGTTCCTTCTCCTTTTGTACCAGTACGTTAACGTTTCAAGTTTCAACCTCTCTTAGGAGAAAAAACGAATGTACTGTATAAGTAGAAATAGAATTATTTATTTTTTCTTCCGTCTCCATTAATATTTAGGGTGTGTTTTGATCCACTTTATTTTTTGAGAATGTATATTGAAATAGTAGATTGATAAAAGAAAATGTGGTTAGACAGATGTAAAAGTTTTTGACTTGGGGTTTAATATTAGTTTAATGAAAAATATATAGTTGAACGAAAATAGAGAAAAATATATTATAAGAAAAATAAGAATCATACACTCATAGAATGCGTTTAATTGTAAGCATTGAATTTGAAAGGAAAAAATAAATAAATTTTAGATAATTCACTTGCCTAGAAGTTATTTGCATGAAAATTATCAATTAAATGTGTTTGATTGATTTAATTTTCAACCTATAAAAGATTATACTTATTCGATTTTTATTTGTGGGTAGATGTAGGGATGTTAAATGGGCCTAGCGGCTAGTCGACTAGGCCACTCGGCTCGGGCACGTAAAAAAAATGTAAATTTATATATATTAAAAAAAGAAAGTAAAAAATGTGCAAATTTACCATAAAAAAAAGAATTAAAAAAATCACGAGCTCGCGAGCGGCTAGCGGGCTCGGCTCTACCCACGAGGTCGTGGTCTCACAAGCTCGATCGTCTTTCACGAGCCACGAGCCCGAGCCGAGCTCGTGGGTAAAAGAGTCGAGCCGGCTCGGCTAGACCCATTGCCATCACTAGGTAGATGAGAGAGAAAAATAGATAGTGAATTTCTAAAAATAAAATCCTACTCCCATAAAGAAAATATTTTTCTTGATTTTGAGGAGGAAAATATTTTCATGGAAAAATATGTCAGTCAAACAGCACAAAAGCAGAAATTTAAGTGGAAAAACACATTTTTCATGAAAAATATTGACAATCAAATGCACGTTAGTGTCTGTCTGAATCCCATTATAATTTAGGAATGTATTTTAGAATAATAAATTGATGAAAAATGTATTATTAAAAATAAGAAAAATTTTTGAATTTGTATAATTAAAAAGATGAAAAAAATATATTTTAAAAATAACAAAAATCCAACAAGAAGTTAGGGTCTGTTCAGTAGTGATTATGAGAATTGATTTTTTGACTGTTAGAGAAAAAAGTAAGTACCACCTGTGAGTAAAGAAGTCAAAAATAATGGTTGATTTAGGGAAGTAACGATAAAAAAATGACTTTTTAGGGTAAAAAATTAGAACCAAACGGGGTTTAATCTTTTTTTATTCATTTGGAGTCTTTTTAAGATTTTATAGGGTCAAACTGTGCAAGGTTAAGCTTGTTGAAAAATTACACTGATATTGTGCATATTATATTCACAAAACATACAATCTATGTTTACGAAATCGAAACGCAGTTTCGTCTTATCGAAATCGATTTGGGAAGATGAAACGACAAATTCAATCATTTCTATTCTTTATTTCAAACCTATATGAAATCAAAATAATGTTATTAATTTTTTGAAATCAAATACGAAAGAACAAATCATAAAGAATCAAGGAGAGATGCAAGTGACGCGATTGACCGAGGTAAGTGTTGGACACTTTGTCCTTAAGATGAATTTACCCTGCATCGGTGCTAACAATTTTCTGACAATCATCTCCCGAGAAAACAACTACTACATCGAGCCATATAAACACTCCAAATGGCTTATACCAAATACTAGAATGGAGTTTCTTCTCTACCATAACCATGACTTTGATGCCAGAGTTTTATGCAAAACCATCTAAGCATGGAATGGAATGATACGAAATTATGAATTGAATTTCTTGAATTCTTTTTAAATTATAAAATCCAAACATATTTAGCCAATATATAATAGTTAGAAAGGTATGTCAAAAGATACACCCACACCAAGAGACACCTCTTGGAATTCTTAATTATTGGATTCATATGAAAAGACACAACTTTTCATCCATCTCTTTCTAGAATATTTCTCAATATTCTATACAAATTTTCAAAAATTTCAAGTATAAAGCGGCTTACATTAGTTTAATTTCTCATTCACCAAATTAAGAATTTCACTTAAATAATCATGTAAAATTGGTCACAATCAATTTTCAATACAAAATTCCAACAAAACCACATCTTTAACATGAGTTGGACTAATTTGAGAATGCATGGGAGATGAAAGGGGTGGGCAGGATCGAGATGACATAATTTCAGGAGGGGAATTTACTGAAATAATCTGAGCGCCTATTTGAGCCTCATTTTTATAGGAAAATGTGTTTTGAAATATTTATTTTTTAAAGAATATATGGTTAAAAGATAAAGAGAAAATTTCTATTTAAAGGTAAAATTATTTTATGAGAAAATGTATGGTTGTAAATAAATTTTAAGAAAATTGAGTTTTTGAAAAAAAAAAAAAATGGAGACCAAACATAAGCTTAATTTTAGGGTTTTTTTTTGAAAAATTATGAGAAATGTGTACTTAAAATACAAATACTATAATTTCAATTATTATTACCGTATTTTTTACGTTCTAACCAACAAACTGGAAAGAGGCAATTTAGCAGCTCAAGAATCTGAATCCTCAAAACTTCAGATCAGGCAACATCAAAATCATAAGATGAAATCTTACACAAATGAAGTCCAAACAAGATGAATAGTTGCTTTAACTACATTTTCTTCAAAATTTTCTTCCTCAAATTTGCATATAATCAAAAACAAATCTACAAGTTTGTAAATTTTTAACTTTCGATACAATTACTTCATATCTTGTTTGATTTTTAATGTTGTTAATACTTTTTGTTCTAGTACATGTGATATTTAATCTTTAAATTAATACATTTGAGTTAGTATGTATGCATGTATGTATGTATGTATGTATGTATGTGTATGTATGTATGTATGTATGTATGTGTATGTATGTATGTATGTATGTATGTGTATGTATGTATGTATGTATGTATGTGTATGTATGTATGTATGTATGTATGTGTATGTATGTATGTATGTATGTATGTGTATGTATGTATGTATGTATGTATATGTTAGAATTCAAACTTGCATAAACTGGATTGGAACAGTATACATGAAAATCAATTTTTGATCAATTCAAGTGATGCATGCAAGATATTTGTAAAAATGTAAATACAAATATGAGAAACGAAAAATTGACATTAATCTCTATTACTTTATTTTTTATTTTTTATTTTTATGTGGCACTCTATCTCATTTGAATTATTTAAAATCAATTAAAGCGATGCATATATGTGTTTATGAAAATTGAAATATTAAAATGAATTCAAACCTTACTTTAAATTTAAAAAGTGAGTTGATATAATACTTTATTCAACCGTCGTATCTGAATTAATGTGGAGGGATTATATTTTATCACTTAAAAAAAAGACTCACTAGTTTAACTGTATTCTTTTTGCAAATATGGATGAAAGTAATGCGTTCATCTGTTATGGAGGCAAACGGGAACAAGATAACGAATGTAAAACGTGATAAAATGATTGGAATTGTTATTCCATCAGAATTCGCATACAACGACATTTGTTAAAATGTAAATGTTACTTTTTTTTTAAAATTTAATATGGCCTTGTTTGATCCCCTTTTTTTTAAATATATTTTTTTAACTCTTCTTTTCTATCCTACATTATTCAATAAAAATAATATTACACACACACACACCCATTTTTTATTTTTTAAATGCATATTCTTCATAAAATCTACTATTCCAGATTACATCCCTTAATAAAAATGGGGCTCAAACATGCTCGATATCATGTCACATTCCAGATTTGAAAATTTTCGAATATAGGTGTTATTGTGCATAGAATAGCTGGAGTGATGGCGATGATGGTTCGTAATTCTTAAAATCGTATATTTCTTGTTTCTGGTGGTGATCGATTTGTGGCAATGAGGTGGCTTTATAGAGTATGTTACAGTAACAATGTTCTGTAACACTTGCAACACACTATGTTAACCAATTGTGGTGGTGGTGGTTCACAATTTTTAGAACTTTTTTCTTTCTTTCTTCTTGGTTGTGACTTGTGACCTATCTTGTGGTAATTTCTGGTGACGGAGGTAGTGCAGCACAACTTTTTACAATTGTTACACAATGTAAGAGCATCTCTAACTAGGTCTGGGCATGGTTGGGGTTGGATTGATTTTGTGCTCAACCTGAAACTGAAACCAACTGGGTTGGTTTGAGTGAATTCCAACCAAAATTTTCTCAATCTAATTGTTGTAATCGAACCAAATTAAAAAAAATCAATTTTCGATTTGGTTAGTCGATTCGAACATGTGCCCGAGTTAAAAAAATTTTGTGTGTGTGTATATATGAGCACCGATGCTTATATTATGTTAAGCACCAGTGATATGTCATATAAATATATATATATATATATATATATA